TGAGTAGTTAGAACGAGAGTATCTACATTCCTTCAAGACAGGCCAAAGAAACTAGAAATACATGGGTATCAAAGTCAACCAATGTTGTAATTAGTATTGATACTAGTTCACGATAACAGATACTATGACTGATATCAATCCCACTTAATGGGCTTTTGAGTGACTGCTTATTGATTCAGTGAAAAAAACTCCCATGTGATTATAATGCTCAGCCATGATCAAAACTACTGATCTCCTCTCTCTCTGCTGCTTGCTATGTTCTAGCTTTTGTATAAAACATTTATAAAAACAGAATGGGTAGCTCCTATTTCTTAAGACTACTGTACACAGTTAATATTTGAAAATTGAAAACTTGTGCTAGGTCTGTACCAGTTGGCCCAGGGTCCTGACTTCTTCTTGTTCATTATAGAAACAATAATTTTGCATACATTTTGCCTTACTAAATTCTGCTCCACAATAATCTATTGGGGATATTATTTCCTTTCCCTTAATTAAGATCTAATAATAAAGTAGATTAACCCTCTTCTAAATAATGTGCTGAAAATTTGGGCAATGAAGTAGTTGGCAACTTTGTGATGTGTGTGTGTGTGTGTGTGTGTGTGTTGTAGTAATGGAGAAAAATTCAGCAATACATAGATAGAGAATATGAGAGCAAAATAAACTAACCTATGCTCATGTTCTATCTCTGCACATTCTTGCCTCCCTCTCTTGGTTTCTTTTTGTCTGCTTCTTTTCATCTCTAGCTTTTTTTTTTTGAAAAGTGCAACCAGTGAAAGTAAAGGAGAAACGACAGCCTTACATCAAGACTCAACCTCTTTGACATCTCTTACCAGAATGTCAAACTTTCAATGACTAGATAAAGCATGCCTTCAATGGTATGTTTGTTTAATGACATTCTGAGGACTAGGGCCAGAGAATTCAGGATCAGAATTCTAAGAGAGAAAATGTATACCTATAACTCTTCTTTCTTTATAGAGGCTCTTTCACTGGGATAATATTGTTAGCCTCTTTCAGCCCTCCTTCACGCCATCATTCACTCTTCTCCAGGGAAAGGAGAGTGATATACCTGCCTGATGAATTTGAAAAAAGTCTTTCGTAAGCTTGTTCTCATTTCCTTTGCTTTAAGAGATGTTCTTTTGCTGCGACATATATTCTGATATACCTACAAAACCTGTTTCTTCAGGGGTATGTATGTGCATGTGCGTGCGTGCGTGTGTGTGTGTGTCTGTGTGTGTGTGTGTGTAAGAAAAAAGATTGAAAATGAAACGGGGGTGTATGTATGTTTGTTTATGAAGTTTAAGAAAACAATAGCCTTTTGATGACTGGGTTTAACTTTTTATCTCACAAGGTGTCCAAGCAAACATCACAGGTATTTGTTGGTAGGAATTGTTCTGTATTGACCAAAGGAGTCCATAATGTAAGGACAGCAATTACTACATATTTCTACAAATTATTGGACTGGAAAAACTGCATCTGTGTGGTAAGATGTATTGCTTTCAAATGATTAAAAACTACAAATGAAATGGATGAACCTGAACTCTTCAGCTGTCAATATATTACTGTAAATAAGAAAATAAGCATTTTTGGACTATCTATACTATCTACACTCAGCATTGTCTTCCACATTAGGGAAAGGCAAACTAAAATAACATAGTATTTACCCTTAAATAACTCAAACCAATTTTTCAGCATGACTGAGCACCAATTTTATATTTTAAACTGATTAATAATGCAATTTTTTCTAACTAGTTTATAACTGAGAGTTCATAAGACATACTCAGCTATTGTTTATAGATGATAAAATTTCATTTCAAAGTTAGTCTTTGCCTGCTTATTTATGAAACTGTTATATGCATGCACTGTGTCTATGTGTGTTTTGTTTGCAACATATACTGTAATTTACACATTAAAAGGTTAGAAATTATCAGCCTATCTATTTTGAATAAACTCTTGCAGTAGACTATAAATAATTGATTGCAATTTAATTAGCTTTATTTATACCTACAAACGTAAGACAATAAAATCCATTGAAGATTAAATGTTGAAGTGATAAACTCCTCCAGAGGAAAAGATACCATCTTTAAAGTAATTATGATTTGTGAGAGTCTCAATTGCTCTGTATCGTAAGCATTATTGAGTGCTGGTTCTTAAAGTAGGACTTTGGGGGACAACAGGAGTGAGTCTTCAGAGAACTTGTTTTCTGTTTCTGACAGACTTCGTAGATTGGAAAATGAGGATGACTGTAAGACAACTGTCATTTCAAACACAGATCAATTTATATGACTGGAACATGTAAATGTGAAAGTCATGATACATAAGCAATGAGATTGTATACATAGGCATCTTAGGTCTGTGTATTTTCAAATGCATAGATCGTATGTTTATGTATTCCTACCAATGTGTATTCTCATATGTAATCATAATTTATGTGTCAAATACTTGCGACATCTATCTTCCATCTTTTCTCAGTTTTTTTCCTTATCTACTTATTTATCCATAGCTGCTAATTAGCAATGTGTGGGTTTCTTAAATTTTATTTTAAGGAGTGATTTTAAAACTCAGTATGAAATTTCATTCAATGAAGATATTAATTCAACACACTTGCCTGACTTAATAATAATTTGCAAACAGGAAATATAAAATATAAAATATTTCACCTATTATTCCCTCCCACACACCCAAAAAACTAAAATGATGCTACTTCCATTCTGTAAAGAGCAAACCAAGACTTGAATGTGATCATATGACTATCTTGAGGACACGTTGCACACAGCACTGTAGTCTAGGTCAGACGATTTCTAATCAAAAGATCAGAAGGCTATGTGGCTTTAAGAAGAGAGAATGGGTCTCGAAACAATTGTGCCCAGGATGTAACTCACTCTTCACCTCACATAAGTAGACTGCTTCTTGAAGATCTTCCTTTCCTGTAACAACTAAGAAGGGAGCACTCACGGCTGATGTTCTCTCTTATCAAGGGCATAAGCACATCAGTTGCTTATTAACTTTTTTAAATGTTTAATTCTTACAGGATTCACAATTTGAAATTTCATTTCTTCTGTTTCATAGAGTGTATCTGCCTCCATTATTAGATGGCCTGCACTCAAATAATGAAAACTCCTTCATTACTCTATGCAAAAATTAAATACAGAAAGCAAAAATTTTCTATGAAAAAGTGATATTCACTTTTACCTAGTTTGTAAGGATTGGCTTATCATTTATTTAATTCCTGCCACCATTCTATTCATGGCCACAAGAAGAATTGTATATAGACATATTTAAATTAAAAAGGGAAGAAAGCTGATGATAGAGTGCTTTGGTAAAAATTTGCCTAAATTATATGAAGGCCTAAGAACAATCCTCAATACTAACAAACAAAACAAAGCAAAGTAAAAGGAAAGATGCACACAGAAACAAAAGTCCAATGGGATTAAAGTAGGCTATCTAACACTAGAAAAAAATCAATCATATAAAATTATGTTGCTTATAATTCTGAAATATAATGATCTGAATCAGTAACAAATGTTATATAACAGATAGTTTACATATCATATTCTTAAATTTTGTGTCACAGAATTAAGGTATATATATAATATGTTGCCATTATGTATAAAAGCATATATAAACATACACATATATGTGTATATATATATACATACAAAATTTACATTTTAAAATTTCAAAACCGAATGTTATCTAATACCTCTACATAACAAATCAGCAACAGAATTGACATTTATCTGGCTATGTAGAAAGTAAAAAAAAATGTGTATTTTTCTGATAACATTTATGTAGCATATGAATGTATCTTTACGATAAAATAAGGCTCCATATAGCCAATAATTCACTGGTGTATAACATATAAACACACATTTGTATGCACAGTGAAAGAAATAAGACTCTATGTACTTAAATGATTATCAGTTACATTACTGATAATTACCAATTTGATATATGAATGCATTACATAGCATTTGGTTTTAGACTTTCTAAAATGAGTTTTTTTTTTTGTTTTTCTGGTAATTAAATAAGTACTAATTCTACTTGGTTGGTACAGTTATTGCATAAGCTGTTCTTTTCATGCACAAGCAAGAATATTTACACAATGTGTGGTTTTGACTGACAGTGAGAACATGAAAAGCCAACAGAAGCCCAGTAAAGCATGGAGGCTCTTAATGTCACTGTGTTTAGTTCCTGCTTTTTTTTTCCTCCTTTCTGTTTTCTAGAGTGTTCACCTTGCCTGTGTATAGAGGACTTCATGTCTGCCAGGACAAAATGGCAGCAGCCTCTGAATAACGACAATGACTTGCACTTCAACAAAACCAAGCAAAATTGAATTGTGCTCAAAATATTCTGCACCATCGACATCCGATAATCCTCTGGGCATATTTCATAAGATTCTGGAATTTAAAGTACAGGAATGTGACTGCTATTTTGAATATTACATTCTGTGAATAATTCAATGGTATCAGGGAAAAAAGACATATTTTGGAAAATTTGGCCACATAATCTTTTGTGAGTAATTAAGTTTCTGTAGTGCAATGAACTATCATTTTCCTTATATTTTAACTGCATGAGAAATTTGATACCTAAGTCACACAGCTTTGTCATTCTCCAATTACTGAATAGTAAATGACATTTGATTAAAAAATGTACAGTGTTTTGAAATTATCATGTAGTATCTAAATGAAGCCTTGAATCGATCATGATACATAGTTGAATTCTTACATGTGAAACTGAGGAAGATTTTGCTCAGATCTTTGTTCCAGCAGATAAGGAATATTTTCATTTAAATTGTCAGTATCTGTTAAAAACACAGGCTCAAGGAACAAAACAATTTACCTCCGAGTCACAGAAATCGGCTCCCTAACACATCCCTTTTTCCTTGGGGCATTTCTTCAGAGTGTTACTGATTTGATTGTACAACAGAAGGTTACATTCTCACATAGTGATCATTAGGAAAGAATAAACAGAGCAAGTAGTAAAGCTGACTTTGCACCTACTGAATGCTGCAAGTGTCTGTACTCATTGGATATGCATCTTGCAAAGCTCGGCTGTTCCCAGAAGGCCACTCCTTGAAGACTGAGAGAGCAGCGTCTGCTAGTGGTGCCTGCATGTCACAGAGAACAGAGAGAAGCTTTAGAGCAGGATGCTGGGAGGCAGAGCACTGGGAGGCAGCCTACAAACTGGGCTTCGACGTTTTCTTTTTGCTTTAGGAAACATGCGCATCATGAAATCGCTGTTTTGAATATTTTTATAATTCATGAGTCATACTGAGGAAGCAATGCATCAGCAACATTTTTGAAGTCTCTTCTTCAACTCCATTTACAAAGCATTTTACTAAAATTGTTCCATCAACTGCTTATTGGACAGACCTTCTTTATTTTTTTATAGAGCGAGGTCTTTCTAAGCGACTTACTAAGCAAACCTATAGCATGCAGTTCTGGGATACAAACATTATAGGGTTGGGTGGGTCATCTTACTGTACCTGTGGCATTCAGTGGACATTGGTTGAATGCCAGGTCGCCCGCAGGAGTCCTTTTCCACACCATTGATATAAGATAATCCTCTGGGCATATTTCATAAGGTGCTGGAATTTAAAGACAGATATGTGAATGTCAGCAGAGTTTATGTTCTCAAATGCTGGCAATAGGCATTCGTCAAACGCATCCAGATGCAAAATTCTTTCCTTTCTGTAAATAGTGGAGTTAACTGACATGTTAGATATGTGCTTATAAAGAAACCATCAGGTCTCATTTAATAGTATCCAAACCCTTATGGGTTTTTGGAAAGCTTCTTAGTGTACAGGCTTTGAGGAGACAATGGAGTTTTCAAATAAATGGACACACTAAAATATGTTAACAAAAAAATTTATTGACCCTATAGATGTTAATTTTCCAGTAAACCAGTTCTGTTTTGCAATTATTAATAGCGCTGAAGCACTGAGAAATATGCATACACACACACACACACACACACACACACACACACACACACACATGCATACCAGTCCAGCAATACTAGGCAGCTGCTCCACCACTGAGCCCAAGATACATTTTATTTCATCATTCAGGAATAACCATTGTAGTCATGGTTTATTTTATGAAAGCATATTGATTTGATCTTTATGCCATACTGCTTTTATAATCTCAATTTACTTACAGAGTAAAGAGACAGAAAGGCAAAATTTTAAATATTATATACTGAATTTTAATTATTTCTTTTAGAGATTATTATATAATTACACCCTTTTCCCCTTCCCTTTTCTCCATCCAACCTTCCCATCTGCATACCTCTCCTTGTTTTGTTTTGTTTTTTTCAAGTTCATGGTCTCTTTTTCCATTAATTGTTGTTACATGTATATGTGTGTGTGTGTATACAAATGTACAACCTGCTGAGTCTGTATAATGAATCATGAAATAATGAAATTCAACTCTGTACGTTCTACTTCAGAATTTTGGAACCCACTTTACATTTCAGTATTTAGTTGATGAAAAATGAGATTGCACACATTAGGTCTTTAAGTTATATTTTTTCTTCAAAGATTAATATTTCAGAATTGGACATGTCATCATAGGTTACCTCTCTTCTATCTCCTTTACAGATGAGGCCCTGAGGCTACCAAGAAGAGGGTTCCTTGTGGTGATAGACAAGGTGGAGTTATCAGTAAAGTTTGGGTCCTAGAGTCCTAACTCCTCCGAAGTTTCTTTGGGCTTTCTAAACATCGTCATTCATAACATCCTTCTGCCTCTGAATTAGTGTATGTGCATTTTTTCTAGATTCTCACTAAAGCACATGTTATTGTTTTCATTCTATGAGGTCTTTGCATAACGAAAGATTTGGTAGCTGATATTTCTTTCATTAGCCTGCTCTCTAATGGCATTTTCTTCATCTCCCCAAGGTTTTGCTAAAATGTTTAACTTAGCCTGAACTCAGTGGCCTTCCCCTGCAGCACTTTAGACTGGGACTTATCTACTGGGAATTCCTTTCTTTAGGATCTTAGCTCTCTTCTCTCTGGCATCCACCTAATATGTGTGCCATTTTCCAGTGTCCATATTCTGAATGTTCTCTGCATGGTCATCAATGCTATGTGCAATGCTCTCTTTAGATAATTCCAAAATTAATAGCAATTTTCACCTTTTAGCCCTTATTTAGAATCTTATCCCTGAATCCATTTAATTTCCCCAACTATGAATTAGAGTTGCACACTACTCTAATATACCATGTAGGAAAACAAAGAGGCAAATAAACTTGATTTTTTTCTTCATAATCCAAACATCCCCTTTATTATATGTTAACTCTAGATGAGAAAATAAAAGTCCATGGGGGTCACTAAATGAAAAAAAAGTCATCTAGCCAGGGTACCCTGTCCTTACCCCTATCAATAGTAAAAACAATGTCTTCCAAACTCCTTAAAAGTACCAGTTGTAACACAGGGCACATATGTTATACTGAGTCAGTGTCCCTTTCTGGTACTCAAAAAACGGGTTTTATCCTTGAATCTGTCATGGGAATGGTAGGGATCCATAGGTTGGAGTTTATCATATATACAAAGAAACAAAATAACTCACCCGGAAAAGGTCAAACTTAAGTAAGGGTGGAGCAGCTTCTCTGCACCTTTCCTTCCCCAAGTAGCTCATTTAACAGCGGGGATATCAATTCCAGCAGCCACAATCAGCCAAGTAGCCATAGCCACTCACGTCCAGATGTAAGCTGGGAGACTTGTCCTACTTTTCCCCATAACTCAAAACATCAGGTTAAACATCTGTTCATCCCCCGTTCCCTTGATCTTTCTTTCTACCCTGGCCACTTACCCAAGTACTTACTCTGCTGAATTAGGGACCAAAGCTCACTGGCTTACCCCTGCACTTTGCTAGCCTGAACTAAAGAAAACCAATAGTGCGGAAGGATAGCAGACTGCTTCCTGGTTCTTTTAGTCAAAGGGAGGAAGCTGAGGAAAAATTAACTACAATTAGGGAAACCATTTCACACATTAAATGAAAATTCCACTTCACTCTAGAATCTGAAGGATTTAAAGGGGGCGGGACTTTTGGAAGAAGTGACATTTGACTGAGATGGTCAGTGTGAGGTCCATTGAGTGCTCCAGGCAGAGGGAGCCATGCGTACAAATGCGGTAAGTGACAGTGGGACATGAAGGACAACAGGATAGACAGAGTGGAACAATGGTGTGAGGGGACAGAGGGACACTGTAGGTTATGGGGCTGCAAATATCCAGGCGAAGGATGGTATGCTTCAGTTTTCAACCTTCAGACTAATTTGCTTTCACATAGACTAGATGGCAAAGACCTTTGGGGAAGTGAAAGAAACAGCACCGTGATGACGTTAGGAAATGATGATTGGACACCACGATGACGTTAGGAAATGATGGTTGGACTGAAGAGGAAAACAACTGAAGCAGCAAAGTCAACCCAGGAGGTAACTAAATAATTAGAGGAATGAAGAGGACCCAGAGTTCAAGGAGTATTCCCGCTGTCCGAGCAGAAGAACTATGGATAGAGATGCTAACTCGCTACTTAAAACTCTTTCTCCCATGGCTCTGCAGCTCAGTAGGACAAAGGTAAGTGTGCTTGCTATGATGAAAGGGTGCTCACTGCAACTCTAATCTGTAATGACTCTAATTTAATTTCCAATACACCAGCCTCACAGAATTAATGTTCACACCCAAATATCCCACACTCATACTTTTCTATCTTCTATATATCTTACTTAAAACAATCTTTCTTCTCTCTTGTAAATGTAAAGTTCCCTTTTTTTTTTTGATAGATGAACGTACATAGGCCATTTTGAATCCAGGGTTAATATAGGTAACATACAAAAGGGGAAAAGAATATCAAGAATCTCTTTTCTCTAGCTCAGGTTTCTTACCTGAGCTTGGTTTAAATATACCGCCCTGGCTTGTGATAACAACTCGATGTGCTCAGGTACCTCCAAGGCAAACTGATGGCATCATCTGTCCCTCAGGACACTCCCTCAGGTGCTGGATCTAGGGGTGTAGCACACTGGGCATCCTTCATTGCAACCTGACTTCCACAGTCTCTTTCTTAAGCTTCCTCCTCTCTTCCATCCCGTCAGCTGCTGAACTGAGCTGCTCTGCCTTCTCAGTAGACTTGGAGTCCATCTGCCTCCCATAGTCACTTCCGATGCTTCTTTCTCTCCGCCTCCTTGGCATCATGGCGATTGTCCCAGGCCTCTTGGCTTTAGTCTGACTTTCCTTTAGTCTGTTCTAAAAACTTCAAGTGTAGCACTTACAATATAACACATTTCCTTTGTGCTTAAATGTCCCTTTCTCCACAAAGCATCTCTCAGTGCCTCACTGAGTGCATAAATTTAGCATTTCTCACAGTGGACTGAAAGCATTTAGCTGTGCATGTACCACTTCCAAGATGATATATTTTAGGACGCTAAAATCACTTCATTTATTTCTTTTGTTGGCTATAATGAACTCCACAGGTGCTTTGTATGCAGGAGGTACCCAAAATATACCTGTTAAATCATTTTTACTGAGCAAAAACATCCACCTAGAAATTTCTGTGATGACAGAATTGCCCCTTATTTTCACTGTCTGGTACAGTGGTCACTAACCAGATTTGACTATGGAGTTCCAGAAATATGGCTGGTAGGTCTGAGGACTAGATTTTAAATTTCATTTAATGTTAGTAGAGATTTAAATAGCTATCATTTTTGGACACTGTTGTTAATAGATAACTATTTTATTAATGTAAATACAATCCCCCAAAATTATAGAATACTTTTAAATGGAAAATTAGAATAAGAGTTAAAGTCCACACAATTTGAGTATATTACATAATTAAAGCCATAAAAATACTATATAAAAATCTATTTTAAGGGTTCTGACTATCGTTTATCTAACATGACTATTAGACTTCAATATGTTTTGTTCCATCTGCACATCCAAGTTCGTTCCATTACACTTTTTTTTTTAACTTTCACTTTCCACATCATACATTTCTTTTGTTTTTAGTGCTTTCTATCTCAAATTTTCTTCCAGGATTTTCTGATTATGACTCTATATAAACCAATGGAAGAGTAATTTTGCACACTGAGAGACTTCATGTCCTTGTAGTGGTCTCAGAAAGCCTTTTCATTTAGTGTATTATAGGAAAGGCACATCCCTTTTGTGCCCTTCCCTCTGTGGTCAGAATGTGTGGTCATTGCATACATCAACCACTAGATGGCAATGGTGGGCTAAGAGGGACAATTGCTTTGCTTGTGGGTCTGCATCAGAACTGATGTTCAAAATCAAGGTGGGTTTGATCAGCAATGATCGGGTGAGAAATAGGTGTCACTGCTTAATATTTTGAAAATACATACTGCTTAGGGAAAAACAGAACATCTTATTTTCAAGGAAGTATAATATTTAAAGTAGGCTGTGGTAGAATGCTTGGGTCAAGGACTAGCGTCTACACTCTCCATTCTCAACATCTTCCACCGCTACACTGGCCTCCTGGCTGTGTAGTCCTCCAGTCAGGCTCTCACATCACAGCTCATCCACTGCTACTCCTGTCTCAGCTGTCCCTCCTCATTGTCCTCGGACACCTGCGAGGCTCA